GTACTACGTCTACGTACGTACTACGTACGTACGTACGTACGTCGTACGTTACGTTACGTTACGTTACGTTAGTTAGTAGTAGTAGTAGTACGTAGTAGTTAGTTGTGTGTGTGTGTGTGTGTGTGTGTGTGTGTGTGTGTGTGTGTGTGTGTGTGTGTGTGTGTGTGTGTGTGTGTGTGTGTGTGTGTGTGTGTGTGTGTGTCCAACGAGGCGTTCTGGGGCAGCAGAGACAGGTCTTCTCTGCAAAACCACACAACAAGATCACTTAGAGACACAAAGTGAAAGACAATCTCATTAAAAAACCACAAAGACCTAAGCAACTGCCAGAAACATTCAGTAAAACATTTAAAAAATGGGCTACAGTCCTACAGACAACTGTCCTCGACAAAGACAACTGCAAAGAGACACCAAACCCCTCTCTGTGCTCCTGTGGGGAATATGAAGACGGGGCCTTTTGTACGTTATCCACCAGTTTGTGTGTTTATGTGTTTGTCCATCTTTATCATACGGCAGATGAGGACGTGAGGAGGTATTGTGAGAGACAGAAGAAGCTGTCCGAGCCCCCCATCCAGGTCCCTGAGGTGGACAGCTGTGTCCCCCGCACCCCCGAGAAGATCGGCATCACCCTGTACGACGACCCCGAAGGTCAGTGTTTATTAAAGGGGACCTATTATGCAGAGTCCACTTCTTCATGTCTCTTCTACTTCAACATGTGTCCCCTCTTCTTCATGTCTCTTCTACATCAACATGTGTCCCCTCTTCTTCATGTCTCTTCTACATCAACATGTGTCCCCTCTTCTTCATGTCTCTTCTACATCAACATGTGTCCCCTCTTCTTCATGTCTCTTCTACATCAACATGTGTCCCCTCTTCTTCATGTCTCTTCTACATCAACATGTGTCCCCTCTTCTTCATGTCTCTTCTACATCAACATGTGTCCCCTCTTCTTCATGTCTCTTCTACATCAACATGTGTCCCCTCTTCTTCATGTCTCTTCTACATCAACATGTGTCCCCTCTTCTTCATGTCTCTTCTACATCAACATGTGTCCCCTCTTCTTCATGTCTCTTCTACATGTGGAAAGAGA